TAAAGGTTTTTTGGCGAGAAAACCGCTAACCCGGTTAACTATAGTTTGTTGCGGTTTGCCGTTTTGGCGAGAAATGTTGTTAACCCGGTTTGGCAGAGTTTGCCTAACCATCAAACCGGACTTGTGGGTTGGTTTGGATCTTAAGTTAATATTTCTATCTTTGTTTATGTATTTTCTGTTTCGTACCTAGTAGTCACTACTTCGTTTTTTTAGAGGTTTGGATAGGTTAAGTTGTAAATAAAAAAATTTGGTAATGGATTCACTGCAAAAAATACAAAGTAATATTTGAAATTGATAATAAAAAAATAGTAATCGAGGATCCAAATAACTTTAATCGTTTATTAGATAGTAAATATGCATTTTATATATTGTACTGTATAGATCTTTATTAACTTCCTTTTAGACGATACATTTGCGTTTGAATAGATAATATTTGTGAACAAGGTAAACCCATTTTGATTTAATAACCATACATTAACGTTCTTTCATGGATCTGCATTTCAGATTAGGAATAACAAGTATAGTATATAAGAAATAATTAAACAACTTGAGCTACGAGCACTATCATAGATTATAGGTTACGATTTCATTATTGATTAGATATCCAAACCAAAAGAATTTTTGCGAGTTCTGTCAAATGTTAACTCAAACTCTTAACACAATCAAACTCGAGCTAACCGGGTTTTATGTGGTTTGGCTCGCCAAAAAACCCTTTATGTAAGTAAATAACAAAATAAAGGCCACAGATTAGCAAAGTGTGTAGATGGATAACTCTGTATTTCCTGCCAACTGGCATTACAGCAGCGCCTCTATTGACGCGTTCCCGAATTATAAGGAAACTAACTTCCGCTGATGGTATAATTTAAAATCTATGTCATTTAATTTTATTTTAAATATTTAGGGTGAAATGTGTCGATATCTTTAATTGTATAATACTGCTATAAAAGATTATCTACGTGTATAAGTTGTGGTAGAGGAGTGTCGCAATTTCCCTGGTAATAAATTTTGGTAAATTACCCACTACAATTTAATTACAGACCACTATATTGTACTACTACTTTCCCTTTATAAAATTCGATTGAAGAAATCATAAAAATTTTTATACCAACTATACATACGGTGTACGTTCTATTGTTACATTGGTGAAATGTCAAAAATATTTTTTAGGTTCTAAATGTTTGACCGGTCTGGTATTCCGTTTAAAAAAATATTATTTTTAAACATACTTTTTTTCAATAAAAATAACAGAAAATTTTTTTCTGTCTTAATTTTAATAATACATATTCGCAAAGAATTTGTGTACATTCTATGGAGAGTGCAATCAAATTTACGTTTATGGAGAAAATTAAAAAGTTGCTTTCATTTATTTATCTACTATAGCACTGATATTAAATTTTGTCTCTTCAAAGTAGTAATCATATTAGGATCATTATAAATAACATTAATTAATATTGAACTGGGAGACTAAGTACTGTCAATTATATATTAAATTCAATTTATAACATTAAAAAAACAATACATAGGTATAAAAATAATAGATACAGAACATTTTACAAAATTTACAATACCTATAGGTACTTAAATATCTATAAACAATACGTTGCATGTGCTAAATTTTATAGTCCATCAACGTTAAAAAGCCACCAAGTACATTTAAGATAGAGATAGAAATAAAAAAGTGTATAATATTTGTATTTATTTTAAAAGTAATGGAAAATTGAATTGTACTACAAAAAAAATTGAGGTGATCTCACTTTTATGATCTAACTTTACATATCTATAGGCAGTATCCTTGTTTATACATTAGGTAATAATTTACTATTTCATAAAAAGTACGTCTTTAATATAAGGACAGTGCTGGATATAATTAACAATAAAGGTTGAGTGGTAATTGTATGTGCATGTTCCGGAACGTACTTAGTTCTATCCATCATCCAGTAGAACCCATCCATTCGATTCTGACTCTTCAGTTTGGCTCCAACCAGTTCACGTATTTGCTTGTTGTATTCATTCAGCCATTTTCTCTAGAAGAGAAAAAGGAAATTATTAGGTGTTTCAGAAACCTGTTTAGACATGTCCTCATTGTCCTCACGTATTTAACATAATTACATTTATGTACCAACCTGCTGTGTCGATAACAAACTCAACTTTATCAATTTCATTTCAAAGGGAACAAGCGTGATGGTTTTGAACCCTAGAAATTTGTGCCCAGTGCGTTCTAACCACCTCTTTTCGTAAACTTCTAGGATGTTTTCTAATCTAATACCAAATTCACCTGCATTGTAATATCCTGGTCCTAAAAAATGTTGGAAAATTCTTAAGGAGTTTAATATAATATAAATAGAGGTTGGTCCAGGTTCTAATACGGAAACTGCACCTGCACCAGGTGACAGAACAAACGATTTTAAACAAAAAAAGTCATATGGGCGTCCGATGTAGAAAGCTTTGTTTTCCAGGTGTTTACGAAAATTAACTCGTAGTGATCTAGATATATCGTTCTCTTTGCTAACACCCTAAGAACGACAAAGATAAAGATCTGAGCACTAGAAATGAATACAATAAACAACGCCTAGTCTGTTTAAATTAGAAAAAATATGTAAACATTTTTGCGGTTTCACTTCCCATTTTGTATTGCAAGGGTCTATACGACCGCTATATTGGATCTGCCATCTTGAATTCACGGCAATCATGGTATTCAGCGGCCATATTGTATCAGCCATTTTGAGAATCGAACAACGCTACTCGATTCCAGAAATTACATGAAAAAACATACATTTTAAGCTTTTGCTAGAACCTTAAAAGCTAATGCAATTCTGGAGAGCATAGGGTGTCCGGTTCAGAGATAATACCTATAATTATGCTTACCTAACTTAAAATAGTACCTATATTTGGATTTTTAAGATTTATCGAACTAACTGGGCAGTACTCTAAATTTATTGTAAAATAAAATAAATACTAAGTGTAAAATGCTCTTTTTCGAATAAGATGGAAGATATCTTTTTTCAAAGCAATTCCACTGGGAATAAAAAATGTTGATAGAATTTCCAAATTGCTTAATTTTGTGGTCGACTTAATTGTAAACGAACTCATCCATTATTGGAGCTTAATTAATAAATCATTTTTAAAATTTCATCGAATATCCTCAGAGATATTGGATTTTTTTTATTTTAACATAAAAAACGAAGAGTTCTACTCCCCATATTCATATGAAACTTTTTACTTACAATCAGTTGTTCTGTCATCTACTGAAGTTTCCTGACCAAAAATTGGACCACATTGTATTTGTTGTATTTTTAATATGAATGAATAACTGAAATAATTTAGAAAAATTTGTATATATTTTTTTGGATTGTCAAGATTACTTACCGCTGGTGAGGAAGTACCCTGGTTTGAACACTTGATGCATACTGATTTCTGAGTCATAGTGTATTTTGATGGGAGCTGAAATTAAAAAGCCACTATTGAGTAAATTTTATATAACTATAGCTAGCTAGCAAATTGTCATATAAACAGTTATTGCATAAAATTACATTCATGTGTTCCTAGGAAGGCCCCTATTCCATGTCCAGTTTCTTGTTCGTAGTCCAGACCAATATCCCACAATGAAGCTCTGGTTAAAGCGTCAACTGCAGCCATTTTTGTTTTATTTGGGAAAGTAAGCGAAGACAGCTGAATCAATCCCATTAAAACTCTGGTATATGCTTCTTTCATATCATCTGTTGGTTCACCAAAATGTACAGTTCTTGTCACTACTGTGGTACCACCTAGAACGTAATTTTCAAATTAAAAAGATATTACACATCTTAAAGAATATTTCTTACCAAAATATTGACCGCCAGAATCCAACACTACCGTACTGTTTCGAAAAATGTTTACGTTCGTATTAGGGGTGGGTTCGTATTCTGGATAAGCAGCATTTGGTCCAAAGGCAGCTACAGTCCGGAAACTGTTTCCAAAACTTTTGTATTGCTCATATCTGTATTCGTCCAAATATTGAACCAAATTTTTTTCGTGCAGAGAAAATTCTCTATCATCTGCAACCTAAAACAGCTGACGAGTTATACAGGATGTTTAAAAATTAATTGTTCAAATTTAAAATCTGAATTCAGGCTCAAATTAAGGGAAAACGCTTCGTTTTTAAGATACTGGATGTTGAAATTTCAAAAAATGTCTTATTTTCTAAAATAACATATTAAGGAGGTATATCGGCTTTACTAAAATGCACAGATGGACTTGAAATTTATATAGCGTATTACCCAGTGCTCCCTCCATGCGTCAAATTTTTTTTAATCTAGATTTTGAGATATTGTTGTTGAAAGTTGTTCATTTTAACTGAGAAAAAAATGTAGAAATTGTGAAACAAAACTTTTCCATTATCTTATTTTTCATGTAAAACTAAAGTTTTGAACATAGTACAGCTGTATTAATTAGAAACAGAAACCAATAATTGCATTTCTGTCTGACTTGAGGATTAATGTGGCAACGTCGCAATCAGCTGACAGCAAGGAGGGAATACATTTGAAAGATTTGATAAAAACGAAATTGATTTCAAACATATACATTTTTCCTAAATCCCATGTACATTGTTATCAACAATAAATTATCCACAACAGATTATTTTTTGTAATGTTTTTAAAAAACTAGATTAGGTAATTAAAAAAGACTAGGAAGTTGTGATATATTTATTGGAATAAAAAATACAGTTGATAAATCCTTTTAATATATTTAATGGTTTATAAAAACATCGTAATCATTACCCAGCAATATTTAGGGTTACATA